CAGGAAAACAAACCATTGTGGGATGGGCCACACCCTCAGGCTCCCTTTCAGCACGAGATTCCTTGGTTGCTGTTACACAGACCTTCCAGGCTGTAGACTAAGAAGCAAGGTGGTATCCTAGAGGAGGCAGAGCGGGGAGCACTGGGAAGGGCAGGGCCCTCCGGTTCAGGCAAGCCCAAGAATAGGCCCCAAAGTGGGTCGGTTGGGTGAGACCCCCCCAACCCTTCCTATCTATACCCCTCCTGTTCCCCAGTACGGTGAGCTGCTCATGCTGGCTTCAGGCACCGGCCTGGCCCCCATGGTGCCCCTCCTGCACAGCATCACGGACAATGCGGAGGATGAGACCTTTGTCACCCTGGTCGGCTGCTTCAAGACCTTTGAGGGCATCTACCTGAAAACCTTCCTGCAAGAGCAGGCGCGCTTCTGGAACGTCCGCACCTTCTTTGTTCTCAGCCAGGTAAGCACGGGGCGGCGACTTCCTTTCCCAGTTGAGACTGCCCCTGTCCCAAGGCTGCTGTGGTTCTACGCCCAGGCTGCAAAGATCCAGCCCCTGGTGGAGTCCCCACCATGTGCCTGGCAGGGAGGCAGGTGTCCTGTTCATTATGCAGATGAGGAAACCTGCTCAGGATGGTGGAGGTGCCAGCCCGAGAGGTGCTGCTCAGTGGGGTACAGCCAGGATTTGAGCCTGGGACTCTCTGATCCAGAGCTCCAGCCCTCACCCATCATGCTTTGCTGCCTGTTGTGTGCCTACCACATCACTTTGCCCCTGCCTGCGAGGAAAGCTGCTTTCCAACTCTCCTGGCTGCAGACACTCTAGCTCAGTGGTTCTCAACCTTCTGGCCCTTTAAATACAGTTCCTCATGGTGTGACCCAACCATAAAATTATTTTCGCTGCTACTTCATAACTAATGTTGCTACTGTTATGAATCATAATGTAAGTATCTGATATGCAGGATGGTCTTAGGCGACTCCTGTGAAAGGGTCGTTTGACCGCCAAAGGGGTCGCGACCCACAGGTTGAGAACCGCTGCTCTAGCTGGAAGCGATTCTGCCTCCTGACCCCCCTGCCTCTGGCTCCCCATCCCCTCATTCACTCAGGCCTTCCCGGCTCCTCCCCTGCGAGCCCTAATAGCATGGGGGCCCATCATGCCCCTTACCTCAAGCCCAGCCCTTAGCTCTCTCTGTCCACCTGTCTTCCCCTGTCAGTAGCTTTATTTCTCTTTCCTGCAGCCTCTGTTGCTCAGGGTCAGCCTCATTGCCCTGTACTTTGGACCACCCTTCTCATCAGCTTCCTCTTTGAGTCAGCTTTAGAGTGTCCCTAAAGACGTCTGTGATCCTCGACATGTGGCCGGGTGGGCGTGTCAGGAAACTGGGTTTCCCTTCCCAACACCAGAGGTCCGGGGCTCCCCAAGGGCCGGGGTCTGCTGGCCTGTCCATGGGACAGAGTTGTCGAGAGGGTTGTGCTTGGTGAGCGTGAGCAGCAGCAGCAGTGCCCAGGCAGGGGAACGAAGCAGAAGGCTGATGCAGCCGAGAGCGGGGTGAGGGAAAGGCCACTGCTGCCTGGCAGCACCCTCCCCCCTGCCCGAGGGCCTGGTCAGGGAGGGTGGCAGATGGGGCAGGAAGCTGGCACCTGGCAGAATCGCCCCGGCTTCCTTTTTCCAAACCACATGCCAGGTGCCAATGAGGATGACCTGCTCTCTTCCATCCAGGCATCACCTGTTTATGGGAGACAGCCACAGGCATGGCCGACAATGGCTTCCCCTCCTTGCGCACGTTCTCTCTGCCTGGCCCTGTTCTAAGCATTTTATGTGTGTTAACTCATGTAAACCCTCACCACAATCTTAGGAGTTCTGTGCTGCCATCATGCCCATTGTACACATGTGAAAACTGAGGCTCAGGAGATTTAAGAACCTTGCCCTAGGTAACAGCAAGTTGGTGGGAATCTGGATGTGAACCCTGGCGGTCCTACTCCAGAGGCCCTGCCCTTACTGCTCATCAGTATGAGACAGCACAGGGATGGGTGCTGCTGAGGGTGTTCAGGATGCTGCAGCAAGCAGGGAGGGGTTCACAGAGGAGGTGGCACCCGAACCTGGTCTTGTGAGTAGAGTTCAAGTTCACCAGCAATAGAGGGCCTTCAGCTCTGGGCTGGGGCTTGGATGATGCCAGGGGCCTGGGATGGGTCAGGCGAGTAGGCTGGCCATCAGTGGCAGGGACCATGGAGTGACAGGCATCTCCTGTTCGTCCGCACTCCCTCCACTCAGGATTCTCCCTCTCCTGCCTGGTTGCAGCGACAGCTTGAATCTTCCAGTGTCTCCCTGCCCCAGACACCCCCTGTTGATTTGTCCTTCATCCTGCAGCTGGGAGGGCAACTCTGACACACCTCCGCCCTGCTTCCCGCCCTTCCCTGGCTCCCCACTGCTCTCAGCCCACATGGCTGTGCCAGTCCTCTGCCTCCTCGTCTGCAGGCACGCCCTCCCTGCGTGCTGCGTTCTGGTGGCGCCGGTCTGCTGAGCTTGCAGGTGCTGTCCGCTCCTCTGGCTGCTGGGCCTGTGCTCACCACCGTTCCCTTTGCCAGGAGTACTCCTCCCTGCTTCTTCACCCAACACCTACTCATCCCTCATCTCCGCTGAGGTAACGCCATTCGGGAAGCGCTGCCTGAGCCCAGGCTGGGTGGGTGTTTGTACTGTCGCTGCCTGGGCTCTCCTTGGCAGCAGCACATTGTTTCCCGTCCCCTCCCCACCTGAGCAGTAACCAGACCCTATGCATCTCTGGGGTGCAACTGAGGAGGCTGAGCGAGCCTCACTGGCCTGAGGGAATCGGGCAGTGGGAAGGAGAGGGGAGGCCAGTGTTCCTGCCCTCAAGGGCCCATAGCAGGGTCCTCAAACCTTTCAAACAGGAGGCCAGTTCACTGTCCCTCAGACCGTTGGAGGGCCGGACTATAGTTTAAAAAAAAACTATGAACAAATTGCTATGCACACTGCACATATCTTATTTTGAGGTAAAAAACCAAAACGGGAACAAATATAATATTTGTATTTGCATGTGGCCCGCGGGCCGTAGTTTGAGGACCCCTGGCCCAGAGGGTGTGTGGGAGTTTGGAGGGAGCCAGGAAGATCCAGGCCCTCCGAGGACCCATCAGCACAACAGTGCTGTCCTCAGAGGCCCCCAGGGTCAGAGGAGCTCTGTGAGGTGGGCGCCCAGGCTCTGGACTGCACCTGAGATTAGAGCACTGATGGCGAACCTATGACACGCATGTCAGAGGTGACACGCGAACTCATTTTTTTGGTTGATTTTTCTTTGTTAAATGGCATTTAAATATATAAAATAAATATCAAAAATATAAGTCTTTGTTTTACCATGGTTGCAAAGATCAAAAAAGTTCTATATGTGAACCGGCACCAGAGTTAAGTTAGGGTTTTTCAAAATGCTGACACGCCGAGCTCAAAAGGTTCGCCATCACTGGATTAGAGGCTGCCCTCTCGGAGCCTCTACCAGGTTTCCTATCACCCCGCTCTCCCCACACTGGCTCAGAGAGGTCACTGTCACGCGGCCAGGAGTGGCAGCAAAGTCAGATTCCAACCCAACCCGAACCCCTCTCTCCTTCCTGCCTCTGCTTCAGAGGTCTGAATAGTCCCGTTCTGTTGGTTTTTGTTTGTTTGCTTTGGGTACTGGCTACATGAGTTCTTCGTTAAAGTTCTTCAAACTATATGTACTTAATGATTCCTACAATTTGTATTCGTATGTTATGCTCCAAGTTGGCCGGCAGCAGAGCTTTCCTTTAGTGGCCCTGAGGCCGAACGCCACAGCCAAGCCAGACGCACAGAAAGAGCCGGCCCTGGTCCCTCGGCTCTGTGCAGCCCGAGCCACCTCCACCTTTCCCTGAGAGAAAGAGACCCGCTCTTGGTCCCAGCACGGCTGCTGGGAGCTCTGATCTGCCTGGGCAGCAGTAGGCCAGGAACCTTGCCTGTCAGAGCAGCTGCCCTGTCCCCAGGCCTAGCACAGTGCTAGGCACAGAGTGACCACCCAGTAAATACTGGTAAACCAACAAGTTAACTGACACCTTAAACCAGGGGTCCTCAAACTTTTTAAACAGGGGCCAATTTACTGTCCCTCAGATCATTGGAGGGCTGGACTATAGTTTTAAAAAAAAACTATGAACAAATTCCTATGCACACTGCACATATCTTATTTTGAAGTAAAAAAACAGAACGGGAACAAATACAATATTTGTATTTGCATGTGGCCCGCGGGCCGTAGTTTGAGGACCCCTGCCTTAAACAGATGAACGCCAGTTATGCTCCCAGGGTGATGATGTGGACAGCCTTGGGGAGATGCTGGGAGACCCACCGTAATGGGGAGAAAACACCCCCCCCCCACGGTGACCTGTACAGTGGCCCCCAAGAGGCAGTGAGGAACAAAGGACCTGAGTTCTCCTGCCTCTGCTCCTACCGCATTGTGTGCCCCCAGAATGTCCCTCCTCCCTGTGCTCCCCTGTGGTCAGAGGGTAACTACCTACCTACAGGCTGGCGGTGGGGTGCTGTGTCCAGCGTGAGCAAGCGCCTGACTTGCGGTAGGGCTAGGGGAAGGTTGCCTTCCCATCCCCTCTGCCTCAGTTTCCTCATTTGGCCAGGATAGCTGTGTGTGAACTCGGAGGACCCCCGTCGTCACCCCCACCGTTTCTCATCCCAGGAGAACTCCCCGGAGCAGCTTCCTTGGAGTTACCGGGAGAAGACCCGCTTTGGCCGCCTGGGCCAGGACCTGATTGACGAGCTGGTTGGCTCCTGCCGGAGGAAGCCGTTTGCGTTGGTCTGTGGCTCGGCCGAGTTTACCGAGGACATGGCCAAGGGCCTGCTGCGTGCGGGCCTGGCCGAGGACTCCTACTTCCTCTTCTAGGCCTGGCCTCCCTGAAGCCCAGGCCAGGGGCCGGCCAGTGAGACCCCGGGAGGAGCACAGACTGGGACCAGAAAACGCAGCAGAAGACCACAGCTGACTCGCCCCGTGATGGCGGCGGCTGGCTGTACCTCCACGCACCTGTTTCTCATCTGCTACCTCCCTCAGCAGGCATCCTGCAGTGGGGAGTGGTGGTGGGGGCGGTGGAGGTGGCAGGAGCCTGGGGAGGAGGAACCAGCTGGGAGTCAGGAAGGACTTCCTGGAGTCCTGGTCCAAGCTGAGCCCCAGGAGGAGGAGGGGTTGGTAGGAGAAGGGGCCAGAAGAGCCCCCCCGGTTCCTTAGGTTAGGGGCTTGTGCCGTTAGACCATGCCCTGTGCTTCCCCCGGGTGGCCTCAGGGCTGGCTCAGTGACTGTCCGTTAAGCACAGGGAATGACCACGGGCACTGAGAGCTCTTTGGAGGAGGAACTTACCTTCTGTACCTCCAGTGCCAGGAGCCTGACACAAGGAAGGTTTTGGGTTCTGTGACCTGACCCCATTCCCCGAGTGAGGGGGGGCTTTGCGTTACCTTTGTTTTGTATTGGCCCTGGGCCTTTCCTGCTGCGAGGGCTTCGCTCAGTCCCCCTTCCCTAGAGCCCAGCCCTGAGTCCTTTTTCCAGGAAAAGAGCCACAGACACAAATGCCCCTCCTCCTGCAGGCAGCCAGCTCAGCCCTCCCTTCAGCTCTGGTGCCCTGGCGACGGTTGCTATGGAGATCTAAAGATAGAGCAGGAGTCAGGAGACCTGGGTCCTTCTCCCTGCTCTGCCCACTGAGTGGATGCTGATTCTGATCCACCCACCCCTCCCGTCCACCCCCGCCCCCTCCATCCTGGTGGGGCGTGCCCTCCCCGGGGAAGCGGGCGCCCCTGGGCAGCGCACTGCAGTTAATGAATTCTGCCTTTCGCAGCCGGGCTCCACTGCGCTGCACCAGCTCAGGCTGGCTACAGGCCGCCCCAGAACCAGAACGTTAAGTCACGGCACCGCAGGAAGAGAGAACCATAGAATCATCTAGTCAGAACTTTACAGGCAGAATCCCAGCCCTCCTCATGCCAGAGGTTAAAGTTCAGGACTCCACAGAGCATCTAGTCGCCAGGCTCATTGTGTCGATGGGGAAACTGAGGACCAATGAGGCTGAGTGACCAGAGCAAGGAAAACCGTTCACGGCGGGGCCAACACCAGAAGCCAGGTCTCCAAATGGCAGCCTGTGCTCAGTGGTTTTCAAACTGGGCTCCGCGGGACACAGGGGATCCTGGTGTGGCAGCAGTGACGGGATGGCCAGACGGGGTCTCCAGGCCCCCCTTCAGCCAGAGCAGCCTTATTTTTATTCAATTTATGTTTTGGGGCTGGGATTAATTTTCACTTGTGAAAAAAGGGCTTCCTTGCACCAACCACCCCAAAAGTTGCAACAAATCTGTGTGCTGTGACAAGTTCAGTAAATAATCATGACAAGCAGTTGGGGATGTTGCCAAGGGTTTCAAAGGCACAATTCCGTGGTCAGATGTGTGGGGGATACCGACTGTGCCCTTCACCGAGAATCCCATGCCCACGAGGACAGTAAAGGCTCTGAGAGTCCAGTGGTGAAGAAGCGTTTTCCCTGTGTTGAACCCAGAGTTCCCCACGGTGTTTCCCTGTGGACCGTTGCTACCCACTAGAGTCTGCGCCTGGCGCTCCGTGGGACATGCGCTGGGAGATGCCAGGCTGTCGCAGCCCGCCTTTGAGCTCAGTGCAGTGTGCAGGGAGGCTGCGCCGAGTCAGAGGCCCAGCAGGAACTGTGACCTCCCTGGGCCTCGCCTGTGACTTGGACAAGACATGTTTCCTCTCTCGGGGCCTCGGAAATCTGGGCGTCTTCCCCATGCTTTCCTCTCTCTCAGCACCTCTCACGCTCTCCTCACAGGGACTCCTGGGGTCCGATTATGGGCCAGGCTCCGTTGTGGGCACCGAGGGAGCAACAGGGAAAGGCAGGTGAGTTCTGGGAGCTCCTCCCGGAGCTTACAGCCCAAAAGGGGAGCAGGCGAACCTGTCAAGCCAGGGCACGTGTGTTCTGGGCGAGGACGCACGGAGTGCTGCTAGAGTGGACGGCGAGGGAGGGCCAGGGACCCTCTGTGCTGGGTGAGGAGCTCCAAGGGTAATACCCTCATTCATAAGGCTGATGCGGGTCCCCACTTGAGGGGTGGGGAGTCTGGGGCGGTTCTTGTGTGTCTTTGTCTCCTTTAGATACTTGACGCGTAGATATCACAGGCCACCCATCATACCCAGAAGCCCCTCTCGTCCTATGTCACCCCCCTCTCCCCTTCACTCCACATGGGTCTGTGCAGCCTGGATACGGGTGGGGTCTCTCATCAGGGGACAGTGGTAGGGCCCCAGCCATGCCCTTGGTGCCAAGACGCCAACAGCTGATGTTGCCCGGAAACGCGAGCTCATGCTGGGTGCTGGGCCTCGAAGGGTGCTAGTGAGCCCAGGACGAGGACTGGTTGTGAGATGTGGGGATGCACCTCTTTGAATCGGGCAAGGTTCCCGTCCGCTGGCCACTGCTGCTGTCCCTCCTGACGATGCCCCCGCCGCATGTCGTGGGAGGTGTGCTATCTGGGTGATGGCAGCAAAAGGGCAACGGCCTCAGTCCAGCCTTCACCGTGCTGTGCGGCACCGCTCAAGCGACCCCTTGTTGGCCTCCCGGCCTCCACCCCCCGCCCCCCGCCCGCGCCCCCGCTGCCCTACCTCTCACACTGCAGCCAGACCAATCTTTTTGACTGTGGTGAGAACACTTAACATGAGATCAGCCCTCGACACACACTTCTACGTGCACAGTGCATTGTTGTTGACGGCACAGACCCTCAGCGCTCATCCAGCGCCCTTTTCCTAACACGCATCTGAGCCCATCACGCCCTTGCTTAAGATCCTCCAGCAGCTGCCTGCCACCCTCAGGATACAGCCTCTCAGCTGTCCACCTCTCCAGACTTCCTTCATACTGACCCCTGGCCCCCTGGCCCCCAGCTCGTGTGTCCCAACTTGCTCTCTTGCATCAGCCATTCCCTTCCCATCGGCTGCTTCCCCTGCCTGGGCCATCCTGCCGTCCTCCTGTCGCCACGCGCCTCGGCCTTGTCTTCTAAGGGCTCAACTCAGGGTCACTTCCTCTCGGAAGCCTTTCCTGCCTCTGCCGCTCCAGGCCAGGCTAGTGAGCGGGCTCATGTGTTCTGTGTTGCACGTCTCAGACTCTTGTTCTCCTGCGAGCACACCGAGGGTCCCCTACCGAGGCCTGTTTGGTGTGTTCCCAGTGTGGGGGGTGCTCCGTGCATCCTGAATGTCTCCTGCCTGAATAATAAACAGCTAATACTCGTGGAGTACTTGACAGGTTGCAGAACGTGCTTACAGCTACATTGAAGCATGTAATTGTTGCCAAAATGCATTTTAGTGCCCATTTTACCAATGAGGAAACTGAGCTTATGCGACAGCAAGCCATGCTGCAAGGCCAGGGAGAGGTGCACGCATTCCAGCATGCTGTAATTGTTACACTGATCATACGTGACACATGCGTGCACCAGGAGATGTGTGTAAAGATGGTCATTGCCACATGTTTGAAATAGCGAAGAGTAAAAAGTGCCTGTTTGTGTGTCAGTAGGAGAAGGCAGAAACGAGCCGAACTGTTCTCTGGAGACCTGCACCGGAACGCCGCACAGCAGGCACCGAGAAGGACCAGGCCTGCACGTGCCAACACAGACTAAATCCTGAGACGGAATAACTGAGTACAAAGGGAAAGGCACAGTGAGATAACCATAGTCAGGAAGTCTAAACACAGAATGGCGCCGAGTACTCGGGGAGGAGACCCACCCACTTCAAGGAGAGGTGACCTCTAGGGACAGGGAAGGGGCTGGGCGTGGAGGGCTCTTACCTGGTCACTGAGCTATAAGAACAGGTGAAGTGAATATGGCCGGACGGGAACCCTGGTGAAGCTGGGTGACGGGTTCACTGGTTCTGCTTTATTATGCTCTACCGTTTTTTCTGTTTGAACTAGTTCCATAATCAAAGATTTAAAAAAATAAGATGAACAATACCTGCTCAAAATGCTTCCGAAACTAGAGGCTTAACAACATTCATTCCACCCAGTCAGCATTGCTCAGTGGTTGAGCGTTGACCTGTGAACCAGGAGGTCAAGATTTGATTCCCGGTGAGGGCACATACCCGGATTACAGGCTCGATACTCAGTGTGGGGCGCACAGGAGGCAGCCGATCAATGATTCTCTCTCATCATTGATGTTTCTCTCCCTCTCCCTCTCTGAAATCAATAAAAATATATTTAAAAACAACAAAACATTCATTCCCTCTCCCCACCTCAGGATTTGCTATGTCCCTATATGCCTCCAAACTTTTCAGTCTCTCAGTGGTGAGCACCTACTGTGTGCCGCCCGGTCTAGACACAGCAGCAATGGTGTAAACAATGCCCAGCACTCAGCTCCCGTGCTGCTCCTTCTTTCTGCTTGTCCCCCTTCTTTCCCTCGGAAACTCAGAGTGACTTTCCAGACACCACAGGTGGGGTTCTTTTTTCCTTCTTTTTATTTGTTTGTTGGTTGGTTTATTTTTAATCCCCACTGAGATTAAAATGAAATATTTTTCCATTGATTTTTAGAAAGAGTGGAAGAGAGAGGGAAAGACAAAAATATTGATGTGAGAGAAACATCGATTGGTTGCCTCCTGCACACGCCCTGTGGGCCGGGAGGAGCCTGCAACGAAGGGACACGCCCTTGACCAGAATAGAAACTGGGACCCTTTGGTCTGCAGGCCGATGCTCTACCCACTGAGCAAAACGGCTAGGGCATTTTCCCTTCTTTTTATTAATGTTGTTTTTTTTTTTATGTGAGGCTGAACTAGGTTCAGATCTCTTACTGATCCTAAGCAAGTGGCTTGGCCTCTCTGAGCCTCGGTTTACTCCTCCACACAGTGGGGCGGTAGCACACTCCCAGGGTTGTGTGAGGGGGAAGGAAGCCCGTGGGAGCCCGAGCACAGCACCTGGCACACAGTGGGGGTGAGAACTCGAGCCCTGCTGGGCTCTCCCTGCTGGCCCTTCTCAGCAGCGCCCGGCTCAGGGCGGCCTCTGACTTTTCCCTCTCAGGAACTCCCCTCTTTGTTATTTTCCCCACGCTTTGGAAGATTTTGATCCCAAATTGCATGTATTAAGTCATTATTAATTTACCTTCCATTTTTTATTAATCAAAGACATAGATAGCTGCCCCTCCGAGCGTCTGATCTGCACAGCCAGCTGGGAGCCGTGCGTGGCTGACATGATTCCAGCCAGAGGCAAAGGCATCAGCAGTGTGTGGTCCGGGTGCCCGAGGAGGCCAGTGTGGATGCTCGTCCTCGTTTTCTTTTCATTGACCATGATGTGCAGCTGGCGCTGCTCTGACAGGCCACCGACGGATGGGCTAGGCGTTGAGTTTTGGGGGCCAGGCTCTAGCATGGGGCCCCCCGCGGGTCCCAGACCCCTCATCCCACAGAGTTCTCTCCGAATAGATGGCATGCATCAGCACCGTGCAGAAGAGTGAGGGGCTCACGTAGTGGGAGGTGGCAAAGCTGTCTGCATGCGGGTCCCACAGGCTCCGGCTGGTCACCATCACATTGCCCGGCCCCTTGCTCCCGATGCGGGAAGAGCACACGAGTTTGTAGTGGGGGCGGGTGAAGGGGGGCAGGCGGTGGCAGGGTGACAGCCTTGACCAGGTCCCGGATCTTGGCACTCAGCACTGAGCCAGGCGGACGCGCACACTGGCCAGAGGGCAGGCCACACCAGCCAGCTTGCAGGGCAGGCGAGCCTGCATCAGCTCCTCAGCCTGGAGGTGGGGCTGACACAGGGAACCTGCAAGGCGGTGATGTTTGCAACAAGGAACGTAGCACTTGGGCTGGAAGCCTAATGTGTTGAACGTAGAACCCTGATTTGGAGCACACGATCTGGGACATTGGGATGGAAAGTGGATGCAGAACATGGAACACAAGACAGTAACTTCACAACTGC